TACCACGTCAACAGGGTCTCTCACTACATAGATCAGACCTGACTCATAGTAATCCTCCTGTTTTCAGCCTCCCAAGTGCTGGGATTACAGGTGTGTGCCACCACACCCAGTCTAAACCAACTGTATTTTAATGTTTTCTTACCCACATTATGCCTCATCCATTCCTCACTTCCCAGTGAGGAAACAATCTCAGATGTTAAGCACACATACCCCAAGCATATAAAGTTTATTATGTTGGGTTTGTAGCCAGAATAATTACACTCACAGACACTGACTCTAAAACAACAAAAAACAGCTGGCCAGAGAGCTCATCTGGACTAAAGCGCCTGCTCAGAGAGACACAGGGACCATTCCCTGCATGCTGGGCTAGTGCCTGACCTACCCCCTGCAGGGTGCACTGAGACCCAAATTGAGACTGGGCATGGTGGCCCATTCTGTAATCCCAGCATGTGGGAGGCTGACAACAGGAGAATCACTACGTGTCCTGATCTGTGTAGTGAGACCCTATAGACCCTGTACTAAATACATTTTTAAAATATATAAAATTTAAAAATAAATAAAATTTCGCCAATTTTCAGTGTTCAAGAACCCCTTTTATTTAAATATTACAGCTGCATGGCCAGAAACTACACTAAGCTGCATTTCCCTGTCTAAGCAGGGCAATGGACACAAAAGATATTTAATTCTAAGTTCTAAAGACTATCTCCTGCATTTTAATGTCTGTGTCTCTAAACATCTAGAAATTCGGGGCCAGGGAGATGGCTCAGTAGAATAAGCACTTGCCTGGCAAACGCAAGGGCCTGAGTTCAATGCCCGGTTCCGCAAAAATAAAAAATAAATAAATAAAAATCTAGAAATTCAATTTACTTCTTGCTATAACTACTTTTTTAAAAAGATACTGAACAGGAAATATATATACATACATATCACCTTGATTCCACCACTGCTAGGAGGCTCTGCTTTAAAGCTGAGTACATCCATGAGAGGTAGGTGAGTGGGGAAAAAAAAAAAAAAAAAACTACGCTTACAGTCTCTTTTCTGGAATTGCTTAAGGCAGTCAATGGACAGGGAAATAAAGGGGAGCTTGGCTGTGCAAGTGATGCCAAGAAAAACAAGATTCCACACGTCAGGAGACTAAATGCCCAACACAGAGCAAAGGGCATGTACCCCACTGCTGTTTCGCCCAAAGACAGTTTAGTTATTTCACCTGAAAGGCTTTCAAAAAGAACTCAATGGTCTCCACTCCTTTACCCCGAGTGAACTTAACCACCCCTACTCAGAGAACAGGGGAAGCTCTGCTTATCACAAATGCCCAGCGCCTCTTCCAAAGCCAAGAAACACTTCTTTGCATGTACCAAAGTCTTTGGGTCCAATTCAGTCCTCTATAACCTAACTACAAGCCCAAAATACTTGGTTCTTAGCCTAAATTAAATTCTCCATTTCTCCAAAGGTCTATCAACCTGATTTCTTTCAAATAAGCCCCTCTCAACTTTAGGTAGCCTGGAGCCTCTTCTCTAAGATACGTAGTTGAACTCTCTGCCCAGGGTTCTAGTCCCTTCGGGAAGTTGCCTCTCCTGATCACCACCTTTCCTCCCCTTTAGCCTAAGTGCTTCACCCCAGCCGCACCCCAGATCTAACACGGCCGGTCCACCATCAGTAGATCCCACTCCTCCCTGGCACAACTCTTCCAAAAGTCATCTCTCTCATCCTAATCACTTGCCCTCCTCCAAAATGTTGTATTTTTCGCAGCTCTCTGTGATGGAAACATACACGCACACACACGCGTAATTCCCAAATCTCTCCCGTGCCCCACGTTGGTCCACGACAAAAGCCCTCTGAGTTTCGCCCCAATCTTGTCACTCTCCTAGCCCCAAACACACTTCCCAATTCCGTATTTTCCGTGCTTTTTACCCTCAGGCAACACCATATGCTTCTCCTCCCAGGTCTACGAGCTACGCCTCGACGCCCAGGCCTCCCGCCCTCGCCCCACGTTTCTCGGGCCCGAATTCGCGGAAACCCGCGAACTGGCCCCTCCCGTCCAAGCCTGCGGTACCCACGGCTCCCAACTCTCTCCTCCAGCCCCGCGGAGTCCTTCAATCTCACCGCGGGGCTCTCCCGCTCGCCCGCCTGCCCGCCTGCCCGCCGCCGGCTCCGCGTCCCCTCCCTTCTCTTCCCCGGGGCCCCGAGGCCGCTGCGCGGCGGGGCCGCTCACCAGTTGGTCATGTCCAGGAAGAAGGCGCAGCCGGCCGGGTTGAGCTGGAAACCGAGCAGCCGCTGGAACTCGGAGATGAGCACGTCCTTGTCGGTGGTGCCCAGACAGCTGAACTTTTGCATCAGCTCAGGGTCCAGGTCCACGTCCATGCCCTCCATGGCGGGGCCCGGACACCCGCTTCCCTGCCTCCTCACAACCGAGCCGTCGCCGCCACTCCACCGGGCCCGGGGACCAGAGGGGGCCCGCTGCTAGGCGGCGCCGCGACCCCGCTCCTCGGAGGTAGGCCCCGGGCCTCTCACCGCCTCATAGGGGTAAACTCACTCAGCCACTCACTCACTCTCGCGCTACCCCCCCTCCCACCCCCCCCAGGGCCGCGGCCGCCGCCTCCTCCGCCGCCTCTAGCTCCTCCGCCACCTCCGCCTCCTCCCGCGCCGCGCCCACTGCGCACGCGTAGTCTTGCTAGGCCCCGCCCCTTCCTCTCCCGAAGGCCCGCCTCTTAGTGGCGTCATAACCCCGTGACGTCTCCCGCGTGACCTCACCTCGGTAGAGCGAGGGTGCGGAAAGCGGGAAGGAGGAAAGACCTAGTCTTGGGGCGGAGAGGAAGGCGGCTCTTGGCTGGATCCTCTCTCCGCCTCGGCCCCACCCACAAAGGGAGGAGTAGGAGTCTAGTTGTCCGGGTGTCAACTCGGGAATGTTCGCCTGTGACGCCACCACCATTTTGCAGGTGAGGAACCTAGCGTCCAGGGAAGGGCCGAGACCATGGCAAGGTCAAGTAGCAGAATACGTGCAAGGTCCAGCACTCCTTCTCAGAGGTCTGTCCCTTTCTGGAAGGATTCGTTTGCACTCACTTTCACGGAGGGAAGCTGCCGCAAGTTCCTGACATACTTCGTGAAGATGACTACAGTTTGTCCATGCTCTTTATGTTATGCAACGGCACCAGTAAGTCTTTCAAAAATAAAGGAGGGGGCTGGTGAGATGGCTCAGTGGTCTAAAGCATCTACTTAGAACAAGCTAATCTAAGCAAAGCACAAGGACCACGGGTTCAATCCCCCAGCACCACATGCCAGCCAGCCCCGCCCCCTGGTGGGCTGAGCTGGCCACACACACACTAAATAAATAAATAAATAAAATTTAAAAAAAAAAATAAATAAAATAAAGGAGGCCTCAGAACAGTCATAGGATCAGAGGAACAAGCGCCCACTCCATCAAGACCAACTCTCTCAGTGTACAAGTTAAGTCATGAGAACTTGCCAAACCTTCTGTCTTTAAAATCCGAGGCAGAGTGTTGCTGTGTACTCAACGTGGTACCCGTTTCTGCTTACGGTTCCACTTCAAGATCAAACAAAAGGCCCTGCCGGGGTTTGAGGAGAGAGATGAAAAGATGCGCTCCATTTCAGTAGCTCTGTGTAGTTTAGTGTTAAGAGAAGTGTGAGTCAGAGTTTACACACCTTGCCCAAAAATACAGTGCAACAAAACTAGAATGCAGCTTTCTGATTCCATATGAAGTGTGTTTCCCATAACAATTTTAACAGAACAAATTGAGAAGGCAGGGGAGATAGCTCAGTAGAATAAATGCTTGCCTGGCAAGCACAAGGTCCTGAGTTCAATCCCTGTACTGGAAAAAAAAAAAAAAAAAAACGACTAGTAAGGTGGAATGCCAGAAGGTTTTGAAAAATGAAAGCAGCCGGGCATGATGTTGCATGCCCATGATCCCAGCACTCAAGAGGCTGAGGCAGGAGGGCCATTGTGAGTTCGAGACCAGTCTGGGCTACAAAATGGGGTCAAGGCCAACCTAAACTGTATAGTGAGACCCTGTCTCAAAAAGACAAAAAGAGGGCTGGCCTGATAGCTCACCAAATTATAGTGCCAGTTTTTAGGGAGACACTGCAGCCCTGCCCCCAGGGCACATGAGACAGCAACTGAGACTGGGTGTGGTGACGTGCACCTGTAATCCCAGCTCTTGGGAGGCTGAACATGGGCAGATCACTAAGAGTCCAATCTGTATAGTGATACCCTGTACACCCTGTAGACCTTTACTAAAATAGAAAGACAGAAAGCCAAGGGACTGAATTCATTCCCTGGTCCGCCAAAAAGAAAGAAAATGGAAAGCATTTTATCTCCTCTGTCCCACTACCAAATAAAAATTAGTAAAATGGGCTTTGAAAACCTAGATTTTGGGACTGGGGAGATAGCTCAGTGGAATAAGCGCTTCCCTGGCAAGAGCAAGGGCCTGAGTTCAATCCCCAGTTCCGCCAAAAAATAAATAAATAAAAATAACCTGGATTCTGGGGTCATACATGTTTAGGATTCAAAATCTCATTCTAGGGGCTGGTGAGATGGCTCAGTGGTCTAAAGCACCTACTTAGAACAAGCTTAGCAAAGCACAGGGACCGTGGTTCAATCCCCCAGCACCACATGCCAGCCAGCCCTGCCCCCTGGTGGGCTGAGCTGGCCACACACACACACACACACACACACACATAAATAAATAAATAAATAAAAAATCTCATTCTACCAATTAGTAAGAATAATAGTGCCTATTCATGTAGGCTTGTTGGGAGGGTTAAATGGGGTGATGATATGTAAGCCTATAAGGATGTTGGCTAATATTATGGCAGTACACATGAAGAGATGTAAATTAGTGGATTAGACAGTGACACAAGTAGTCAGGGATTGCTTCTTCACCTACCCCCTCTTCTATTCCCTGCCTGGTACTCTAATAAAATGTGAAAAATGCAGGGGCTGGGGAAATAGCTTACTTGAGCAAGCGCAAGGGCCTGCGTTCAATCCCTGGCTCCGCAAAAAAAAAAAGAAAGAAAGAAAGAAAAAAGAAAAATGCAGCAGGATGAAGTAGCACATGTCTGTAATCCCAGCAGTGGACAGACTGAGGCAGGAGGATCAACATAAATTCAAGGCTAGCCTGAAGTACATAGTAAGACCCTATCGCAAAAAAGTAAACTATGAAAAATGTGTTAAAAAAAAAGTATGTGTTGTTTCTGTCTCATTCTCTTTCTCT